ACTTTGAATACAGAAACCTTTAGGGACCATAATTAAAAAAAAAAAAAAAGGAAAAAAAGAACATAAGCCAGCTGTTTTTCTTTCTAAAATCTTTTTGCAAAAATAACCAAACTACACATGCATAGCTTCAATGCCTGACACCAGGTAACATTCCTTGAGGCCATACTGTTAAGTTTTATGAAGCTTATTATTTGTTTACACTAAATCCAGCTCCTTTGAATATGGCATATTATTTGGCATTTGTAAACACCTTAGAAACTAAAATCATATATTAACACACTGCAAAATATTTCTGTTCTATGAACTTTTCAAAATACCAATCCCTGGTCTTTCTCACAGGGCAAAGACTAGCCGTCACAGTATAGAACCAACACGTGATCTCTCTTGTAAAGCCCATTAAGTCAAATAAAGAAACATAAGTAACTTTAAACCACAACTAAACAAATTTCAATGACCAAAGACATGAAATTAATAACACAAGCCAGATTCTACATTATACCAAGTGACTTGTTTTTATTCTGAGTGTACATTCTGTTCAGTTTCTAGTTACCTTAGGATTTTCAAACAGCAGAGTAAAAATAGTTGACATAGTTCTAAAGCCAAGGGTGTTTTGCATATAAAATTACTTAAGATTTCTTTTACTTTTGAAGAAAACTGTTATTCTCTTCAAGTTATAAAATACAATAATCAACATCATCATCTAAAGAATCCCCCCTGTGAAAGCCAAAAACTAATAGAACTAAGAAGATGTGGCTGAAATAACCCCAACTGGAGCAAAGCATTCCTGACTTGAGGGACTCAGAAAGAGCCCAAGTTGCCTACACATAAAAATCTTTTAAATAAAAGTATAAGAAACACATCCTACAATCACTTCTTGGTTCTACTAGGTTGGCCAAAAAGTTTTTTTGGTTTTTTTTTTTTTTTTTCATAAGATGGCTCTAGTAGCACTTAGTTGTCTTTAGCTTCATTTGAAACAATTCTGTTAGATTATATTGTGATAGCTGTCATACAGGCCTGCATTTTTTTAAAAAGCTTATTAAAATTGGTAAAATTTTGTGTAGCCAATTTAATATTGAAGATGGAAGAAAATACACAGTATTTCCAGCATAGTATGCTTTATTATTTCAAGATAGGTAAAAACATGCCCTAGCTGGTGTGGCTCAGTAGACTGAGTACCAGCCTGCAAACCAAAGGGTCACCCATTCTATTCCCAGTGTAGGGCACACGCCTGGGTTGCAGGCCAGGTCCCCAGCAGGGGGTGCGCAAGATGCAACCACACATTGATGTTTCTCCCTTCTGTTCTCTAAAAATAAATAAATAATTAAAAAAAATAAAGGTAAAAATGCAACCAAAATGCAAAGAAAAGATTTGTGCAGTGTATGGAGAAGGTGCTATGACTGATCAAATGTGCCAAAAGTGGTTTGCACAGTTTTGTGCTAGAGATTTCTTGTTGGACGTTGGTCCACAGTCGGATAGACCAGTTGAAGTTGACAGTGATCAAAATGACACATTAATTAAGAATGATCAGAGTTTTTACCACACAGGAGATAGCCAACATACTCAAAATATCCAAATTAATCGCTCAAGACAAAAATGAAAAATATGCTTTTATGGAAAAAACTAAACAGACTTTTTGGCCAACCCAATATTAAACTAAAAAATGTTTACTGTCCAAAATCTTATTTGTTATATTTCAATTCAGATAATTTCATTATACAAGAAGAAAAAATATATAGGTTTTAGATTACTAAACTGGATGATGGCAATTATCTCCAAATACCTTACCCAAACAACAGTTAATATTTTTTTCTTTGAAATGTTGATAGACTCAATTGTTATTAAGCATCCACAAAAAGTTACGTATTTACTACTGGGCTTTAGAAACAGCAATCATAGGAAATATTACCCAGCATCAATTATTTTGTTAAAAAAAAAAAAAAAGATCAAAGCGTAAAAGGATATGCAATCAGAAAGGTAGCCACTGATGAAAAATGTAACAAAGGAGAAAGGAGGAATCTATTCTTTAATTCTAACTATTCAAGGCTAATTCTAATTCTAATTCTAATTCGATTTAATTCTTTCCGGCCAAAAGCAAACAACTGTATATGAAAAAAGCATTTGTGCCTTTAATTTACCTTTAAATCTTAAGCATAATAAATAGAAAATATACCAGGACATGTTTTCTCTTTAAAAATGTATTCTCTGTATATCACTCAATGTTTGTTTTTCACTGTATTGCTTTCATTAAGTAACTCTCTGCATCCTATCTTATATTGAGCATTTTCTCCATCAATCTCTCAGGGTTTAGATCTCTACCTCACTTTTGATCTGACAAGACTCTCTTAAACACAGATTTCTGCCAGTATTCTCAAATGGTAACCAGTATCACACCTCCATAGAGGATATTTAGAAACGTATGAAAGTGTGTTTTGTTTTGTTTTAATTGTCCCTCGGGGAATTCTACTGACATTTAGAGCCCAGGGGTTGCTAAATAAACTGCAATTACAGAGCAGTTTTTCGTAAGTGGTTATTCCCACTAAAAACTCATCTATTTCATAGTGAAACAAACCAAACCGGCCCCTACACTTACGGATACAGAATAGCAAGCTTTTCCTACCAGCTTACTCACTGCCACACCAGAACACTGGGTCAGCTACCTCTGCTCAGCATGGGCACTTCAAGTCCTCCTTCTGTTTCTCTAAAGTATCTACTATTGCTGCCTGAACCAAGGTTACATATTTCCTTTTCACTTAATTCTCTATGGTATACTGAAAAAAAATTTTGGTTATTAAGTATGCCACAGTAAAAAGCAGCCAACTACCTGAAGTTTTAGTATCCAAAAACAATGCTCCGAATTCTTCCTCCATCTCAAGAACCATCTTCAAAAACTAGTGTTGGAAAGTAATTATTTTTCTTGCTACAAATATGTATTCACACATGTATAGTTCTATTTTTTTATTAGTTGAAATAAGCCATAATTTCACAAGCATCATCCTACAGCAAAATGAAGGACCAATCTTGCAATACTTTTTTGAGTTATATTACCTGTGAAAAAATTTTTCAGAACTGAAATCATCCTTTTCTCACAGAAACTCCTTAAAATTTTATTTGATTGTTGGAAATAAGGAAAGATAAAATTTATTACAAGCCTTTAGGCATAGAAGAAAGTTAAAAAAACGGATTTTCCCAAATCTGACTATAAAGGCTGAGACACAATACCTGTATTTGAGGACCACTGCTATAGAACAGAATTATACAAGCACCTAAACTTGTATCAAGGATCTCAAAAATCAGTTTTATGAATCAATAGTCTCTTTTTACTCTGCTTCTTGAGCAGAGATCTCCCAGGTTTCTTTGTCAGGAATATCTGGTTGACCCCTGACTAAAATTTAAGCCTTGACTCTACAACACTTGATTAATTTTTTAAAAATTATAACCAATCTTTTCACCTAAGCGGTTATCCTTTTTTATTAATTATTAGTCATTTTACCCCCTAGATTCTTGGTGCATCTCAAACATACTGCTAATTATTTTATTTGCATTATCTCATTTACTTTTCATATCAGTCCTGAGATGGTATTAATACTAACCCTATTTTATAGACGAGAAAACCGAGGCTGGGAATGGTGAATAACTTACCCAAGAATACACACTTAATAAAGAAGAGTCAAACTGAGGCCTGCTAATGCCAAAGTCTAACCTCTCAAAGGACTGTATCTCTTAATACCAGAATATACCCCCAAGTTTTATATCAAATCCAAAGAATTGCCTTCCACTTCACACAACCATCTGAAGTCTCCTGCAAAATGTCTTTAACACATGAGAATTTGCTTGGTTTTACATCCTCTAAATTGCATAGACTACATTTTGAGAAATAGAGCCTTATATTAAGATACAATATAGAAAATGAAAGCCTTCAATTAACAATACCCATTTACTCAGTAAAATAAATTCTAAGTATGATACCACAGCTAAATAAACACTGGTAAACTGCTTTCCTTTTATCAAACTGTATTATGTTGCATAACTACATTAAAAATAGCTACCAGCTATTGACTGCTTAATTCGTATCAGATGACTTAAGTATATTATCTCTCATGTAGAAGGTATCTATCCCCATTTTACACATGAGGAAACTAAGGCTCAGAAAAAGATCTGCTTAACTCAGCTAATTACACAGCAAAGTTGGTAATATGAACCCAGATCTATCAGGTTCTAGAGCCTGATAGGCTCTTCCTACAATAGCAGAAGAAAATGTTTCAGAACACTGCATAAAAAGCTATTTCTCAGGGGGAAAAAACGCCCTGCAAGTCTTTTCTTTCTCTCAAACCACATCCTGTAATGTTATTTCTGCTAAAAAAATTAGTGTCAGCATATACTTTTTCGAAATTTTAATTTATACAATTACTTCATTTAAAAGAACCAACAGGCTTAAAATATTAAAATTAATTGAAGACATCTATTTTCAACATATCCTAAGAATAAAGATAATTCTATGTAGCAAATGAATGTATATTATTGTTAATTTATTAGGCCTAGATTAGTAACTGAGATTAAGTGATTTTAGAAATACTAATATTTAGAAAATAAGTGGTTATTTTATACACATCAATACAAGTTACATCAGAATGTTAATAGAAAAACCCTTAGAATGGTGCCTGTTCCATTCAGTACAAGTTATACTTAATCCACGAAATCAATAAGTGTTTAGTATCTCAAAAATTTAGTATCTTCAAGGTTCTCTAAATTCAGAACAATAATTTTTTGGGAAGAAAAAATAAACTAATTTCTCAATTGTGCCATAAACAAAAGCAAATGGGTTTGTTAATAACAAAATGCTATGAGGTAAGGACAAAAAGAAGTGAATCACACAGACTGAAGCTACTCTTGAGGACGGCAGTGTGACTGGGTCCATGGAATGGCAGCATTCTGAGAGTCAGCAGCTACTAAAGCCCCACCTACTAGTTCAAGATGATAGTGAAGGGGCAAGGGTACAGTACCTGATGATGGGCAGGTCGAGGCCCCGCTGCAAACTGAGAAAAGGAGGGAAAACAAACACAAAAGGAAAGGCACAAAGAGTCAGAAACACCACAACAAAAACCAAAATGTCACACAATATGCCAAAAGAAAAAAAACCCACAAGAAAAAAAAGAACACAAACAATCAAGCTTTGCTGCAGGACAGTGACAGACAGGTACTAAGATTCAACAGGTTAACACCACTACCGGAAATAGTTTGCCATTTATAAGCTGGGAGAGAAACAGCTAAGCTGTTAGGCATGAGTAAGGGTGATTCTCTGATAGAAAAATTTAAAAAACCAAAAACCTCTAAAATGAAAAAAATATATATTTTTTTGAAATACTGAGTGGTTATATTAAAACAAATGTATGAAAAGTCAAGTGTACTTATACAACTGATAGAGCTGGAGGGAGTAAGAAATGCTTTTACATTTTAAGAAATACCAGGAGGTAATAATACTGTCCAATAGGAAATAAAGAATGTTAACAGGACTGATTTCAAATTTACTTAAGTTAAATGGGGTATCTCACACATGAAATGGAAGTTTTAGCATCTTCTTTTATTTCTAAGAGTTAAAGAATAAAATTTTATTTATATATTATATTTATGTATAATAATGTTTATAATCTATGTATTTTTATATATGATCTATAGATATTATCTATGAATATATAATTACATGTTTAAATTCAATTAACTAATAAAATTTAATACCAGGCATATCAAAGTAAACAGCTAATAAAGAACATCACACCCTCTAACATGACTAATCAAAGTTGTACTACGTAAGCTCAAGAAGAAAAAGAAGTAAAAGAAGTCAACTCTCTCACTATTTATACACAACAGCACAATACTGTACATATGTACCTACTACTATCTGATACTGAAAACAAACACAAAAGAAAATGTAACTTCTCAGCTAACTCATAGAATACTGGAAAGCAGATAATACATGGTTCCACTCTTAATTTCCCTAGCTTAGAATGGAAGAAAATTTTTATTCGCCCATAAAATTTTAAATAGTAAACCTCTCTGATCAAATAATTCTTCATCAGAGCAAAACTGGGCTTCTAATGTGGTTTTTACTAAAAAGGACAGAAAAATATTAGAGCACATACTGTCATGTATTGACTACTAATACACTAACTATTATGTTAACCACCCTAGTGAAAAGAAAATACTTAGAAAGCAGTTCTGAATGCAAACCATACAGGATTTTAATATATTTAAGGAGCTAAAATATATTTCTTCAGTTCTTTTATGTCCTATGGAGCCTTCCTTCTGTCATTTCATCACTACAGGTGAACTGAACTGAAGATTAAGAAAGAAACGATCCTTTATACCCAGAATTTAGTTATCTGCAATTGTATGTGCAAGAGGTTTGTAATTATTTCCTCAGTTGTCATTATTTCATATAAAAATATTCAAAAAATTACAGTGAAGCACACGCCACAATATAGGAAACACCCAAAGAGAGCTCCATCAAGAATTCACCTTAGAAACTAAAATGTCACCTATTGTTCAGATAATAAAAAGTACCTTAACACATTTTTAAGTTATTCAGCATAACTTAATGAGTTCTCCATGACCTGTATGATTAGCATGTGTTAAGTCACCCATTGTTTGCTAAACATTGTAAAATAGTTTTTTCAGAATGATGATACTGGCCACTATAGTATTCCTTGCAGAACATTCTCTCTTCAAAGAAACTGATGTCTATATATCAGTTTTCTAATTATGAAAACAGAGCATACCTCTACTATGAACATAAAGTTTCAAGAATAGGCAACACCACCCATGTGTGTGAAAGGAGGGGGTGGAAGTGAGATGCTTCTTCATGACACTTTTGAAGAAAAAAAGAGAATGGCCATGTTAGAAAATTAACCTGAGTACAGCAGTACCTGTCTTATCACTGTTCCACAGAAAAGTCCCATTTCTAAGGCTCTAAAATAAAAGTTAAAATTTTATATATTTCGAATGTTCCAGTCGAAAGAACTTTCTATGAGCAAAAGGAGTACCTTATAAAATTATACAGATTTTTTTTAAAAAACCACAACTTAAGTTAGTGGGAAAGTACCCTAGTCTATTTTGCACTAGTCACCATTGGCTATTGAGTTTTTCACTTGAAATGACAACAGTCTTAATCCTATGGATAACTGTAAGCAACAGAACAAACTGTAGTCGCTGCTGGCTCATATTAAAAATAGAAACTTTCTTTTTTTCTTTTCTTTTTCTTTTTTCTTTTTTTTGAAGAGGGGTCTTTAAGATGGTGAGGACTATAGATATTAAGAAAAGCAGCCTTCTGTGAACTTGGATCCAATGTTAATGTGATCCACCCACCCACTCACTCTTCTGTGCCTAATTGGTAACTGGGCATGGCCAACATAACACTGATGTAACTCTGGCACTGAGCACCACAAAATGTCAAAATAACTAAAGCAACAGGTTACTGCAAAAGCCAAACTGTCCACCTCTCCCAATTAAGCATTCAATTGCTTCACTATTTTGGAGGCTATTTAAAAATAAACTACTGTTTAAAGAATTCCAGTACAACCAGAGAGAAGAACAGGTAAATAACTTATCAGTATTTTATACTTTTAAACAAGATTTTAAAAAATATAAATTTAACTAAGATATTAAGAAGTACCAAATATAAATATAGGCACAAGGCTAACCTGAAGGAGGGAAGGGGGAGGGGGGACCCTTGAAGCCAGTTGGATTGCAAAGGCAGCTGTCCAGGGAAGAACAGAAAAGCCTAAACTGTGCAATTGCCAATGGCCCATTAATGCAGAAATAGAATGGAGTAAGCTTTAGCTGCTCTACAAAGCCATGGGAAGGGTCCCTTCCTTAGTGCAGCAGCTTACCTCTCCTCACCAGCTGGGACAGCTATGGGATGGATGAGACTAGACTATGGCAACTTGGAATGTAAAAAGAAAGTGCAATCTGCCAAATTTCGTATCCCAAACTTAACCCTCCCAGCACCAACACAAATGAAATAAAGGAAACTGGACCCAAAACAACCAGCAAGAGTAGTCTGGGGTCTGCTAGTCTTGCACTTGTTTTGGGGTACGTAATGGGATGTTATGGGTGTGATTTTTAGTAATGGGGGTGGGTAATGGTCACTAGCAGAGCGGATGGCAAAAATTGCAGAGGATAGTATCTGAAGAGTTTATGACCACAGAAAAATGGCTGACAACTACAGACAATTTCGCCCTTGATATTTGATTATAAAATGGAAAGAGGGAAAAAGAAGCCTTTAAATTTGTCTTTTAAAATCAAATTTATCTGAAAGGATATCCCTCTTCAAGTTTAACATAAAGAAAATTCTAACCCCCAAATCACTCCTACCTAATTCCCAATAGAGAAGACCCACCCAATTTGTTATTCTTTTCCCCACTAGGCCTGGCAGAAACTGCCATGCTAGGTTAGACTTTCAGAGAGGAAGTAATCAATGCATTTCTGTTCATCAGCCAATAAACAGATGTGGTCAAAAATAATGAGTGCCAGAGGCACCACTGCCTGCAAGAAGTACAGTTTGTTATATTGCTTACAATGCAGTATTTTATCCAGCCTCTTCCAGCCAAGGACCTGTAAACGGGAGTCTGTTCCAAAACCTTCCTCCTCTTCCAGTTGTCTGTGCAATGTATTGGCACTGTTCTGCTGGGCTGTCAAAAAAACTGGTTTAGAGATGCAGCTCTTCAGTCAGGTTTTGCGCCAGTTCTAACCATGTAAATTTAAATCTCTTTTCCCCAATATTATAAAAGGGAGGTTAGGGGTAAAAAGGGCCACAGAATTCTTTGCAAAACAGCTTACCATAATGTTCCATGTTTAATGATTAGAACCCGGGCCTATCTAAATTAAACTGGTGAGATCTCAGGCCCACTCCAAGTAGTCAAGTGTCCACATCCCCAAAGCACTCTCAGAACAAAGCTTGCATCAGACATCTTGGTGACCATTTCAGCAAAAAAATAAAAAGAGACAAGCAAACAAGCAACTAGGACCAAAGTCCCACCTCTTTAGAATGGTTCCTCCACCCCCTGGGGAGAACCAGGATCTAAGAACAGGTATTGGAGAAGAGGGCAATACAGAAAAGGAAGACAGAAAGAGGGTAAGAAAGAGAATACATTTTGGTGCAGTCTATTGCTCTCTCCGTTCTTTGAGCAATTCTTTCATACATTTCCACATTCCTAAATTCATGCATAAAACTAAATGAATAGAAGCTAAATGCAATGAAATACTCCTGTACAGGCAAAAAAAGCAAGGGTGGGGAATCAAAAGAAGATCCTTTTATTCTGAGGAAAACAGAGCTGGGGCACAAGTAGGGATGAGAGATACAATGCAAGATGTTACAGAAGCACCTAGCAAAAACTAATCATGCAAGGCAGGAAATAACATTCTAAAGAATGGACAGCTGAAGCCACTATATTCTTTTGTGAAACAAAAGGATGAACCCTGAGTAAATCCACAGTCTTTGAAATTCTTACTGCAATCCATGTAAAGGATGAGCAAGGAGGATGATAGCATTTACATTTGTACAATATATTTACCATTTAAAAGAAATGAATATTCATCATTGGTGTATATCATGCATACGTCCACACTATCAAATGGTTTGAACTGTTCTAGTGACACCAATTCAGAAGTCCTTCACAAACCAATGGAATTTGAGACTCTAATTAATGAAATTTATTTTAATTTTAAAATCATTGTGCTTTAATCTTCTCCTGAATTTTGAACAGTACAACTAACAAATGAAGAACTAAAATAAACTTGAATGCAACTGAAATTTTTTTTAAATCATGCCACTGAAAAGTAAAAGATAAAAGGTTTCATTCCTTCTTTTTCTTAATATATTTAAATTATTCACATAGCAAAGAGTCTGAAAAATGCAATGCTAACCAATATAATAATAGTAGTAATAACAACAACAATAACAAATTGTCTTTGGGACAAGTTTCCAAAATCAAGTAAAAGTCTTAGCCAAAGAAAACGCAAGCTACTACAAACACAAGCTTAGTTGGAGAATGTTATCTAGAACAAGCTTCTGTTTACTTACCGGAGAACGGGTTTGAGGTTGCGAATTCATTGTCTGAGGGGCTTGAGGGTACACCAACGTGGTTGGACCTGCATTCTGTCCAGAGGGATAAGGGGTCTGTCAAAGAATGGCAAAAACAGTTATCATATTGGGAACAAATATGGCATGGTAACTCAAGTTCAAAGTATTTTTAAAAGTTTATACTAGTATTTACTAATGTGGTTTACAGATCTACTTTTTAAACTCATCTTTATCACAATATCCAGTGATCCAGAACCAAATGCAACACTTTTTAGGGGTTACCTTAAACCTCCTGATCCATCTAGGTGCAATTATTTGATACCATAAGTATCACTCACTGTCAATTATTTCTTTCTGAAATGGACAGCCCACCCATAAACAAAATCAAACATGGCTGAGAGAACTTGTTACTTTTGTGGTGAACTTTCCAAAGTACCTATAAGCAAAAGTAGCCATTGAGGAAGACATCCCAGAGCCAAATTAGTAGTTTGCTCAGTTAACCTCTGTTGTATTGCTATTCTCTTCCACTGCTTACACCTAAATCTTTCTACATAGCTCCATACAAATCCATAATCAATAAGAACTTTAGACAAAAGCCTGGAATAGTGGTAATGTAATACGTACTAACAAGTGTGATGGAAATAACATAAATTTTTCATTATGAATCCATGTTAAATGCTATGATTTCAGAAAAAAAATACTTATGCTCAAAATGAAATACTAACAAGATCAATGGACAGTGAATCACAAGAATTGGGATTTAAATCCTAAAAACTGCCATTTACTACTGATGTAAGGTTAGGCAAGTAATTTGTCTTTCCCATAAATATAAAAAGGAATAACATACCTACCTCACAAGGTATAGCTAAGATTAAATGAGGTAAAGTTAAATATTGTACAAACACCTTTAGCTACAACAGTTCCAATTTTACAAATAAGGAAATCAAGGGTCACAAAGTTTAAGTGTGTTCCCCAAAGTAACTAAATCAGTGGTATGTCTAGAAAGCATTCTAACTTTGCTCTAAAAACAAACACACAAACAAACAAACAAATATAATTTTTGGTTTTCCTTGACCATTTAATAAGAGTTCATCTGCAATTAACAAAGCAAATGTTTAAAAAGATTTATTATACTTCCAAATAATGGAAACAAAAAGATTAATTAAAAAAATTAACAGTTTCCTATTAGACACAAAGGATGTTTTGCAAACTTTCAACACAGTAACTGTATAGCCATTTCTGTAACTGACATTTAAATTTCCACCTTAGGTTGACTTCTTTTTTTATTCTAGTTCTATTAGAGCTTGCCACAAATTGAAAAACATGAGTACTTCCAGCCAAGATGGCAGCATAGGAAGACATAGCTTGCTTCTTCAAACCACCAAAAAATTACAACTAAAATATAGAAAACCATCACTCAGAACCATCAGAAACTGAGTTGAATATAAGTCTGACAACTACAGAATTAAATAAACCACATCCATCCAGACTGATAGGAGGCGTGCATGCATGGAAAAGGCAGTCCAACACCCAAATGTGGTGGATAAAAATTTGGGAGGGGTATCTTGGGAGCTAGGATATGCAGCCCCACACCACAGCCCCCAGCCCAGGGTTCTAGCGCCCCTGCACAACTGATCCTGCATGGACAGCAGGGGTTGGTGATAAGGGGTCATAGTCAATCCTTGCAGCGGACTGGCCTGGCTACGTAACTCCCACTGATCTGTGAACAGCAATCAAAGCTCAACTACAAGAGGGTGTACTCAGCCCACAAAAAAAAGGGCAATCCTCGAGTACCCAGCTTGGGTGATAGGGGAGGCTGTGTCACTGGACTCTACAGGACACCTACTACATTTGGTCGCACTATCAAGACACAGAGTCAAAGCAGCTTTACTTAATACATAGAGATAAACACAGGGAAGCCACCAAAATGAGCAAAGAAACATGGCCCAAATGCAAAAACAGGTCAAAACTCCAGAAAAACAACTTAAACAAAATGGACATAAGCAATCGATCAGGAAGTCAAGTTCAAAATACTAGTTATAAGGATGCTCAAGGATCTTAGTGAGGACATTAGCAGCTTAAGAAAGATCCAGTCAGAAATGAAGGATACACTAATTGAAATAAGAATAATTTACAGGGATATAACAGTAGAGTGTATGAAGCCAAGAATCAAATCAATAATTTGGAATATAAGGAAGCAGAAAACAACCACTCAGGGCAAGAAGAAGTAAAAAGAATCCAAAAAAGAAGAGGACAGTAAAAGCAGCTTCCAGGAAAACTTCAAGAGGTTCAACATTTGTATCATATGGGTGCCAGAAGGAGAAGAGAAAGAGTAAAAAATTGGAAACCTATTTGAAGAAAATAGTTCAAGAAAACTTCCCTAATTTGGTGAAGGAAATAGATATGCAAGTCCAGAAGCACAGAGAATCCCAAACAAGATGGATGCAAAGAGACGTACTCCAAGACACATCATAATCAAAATGCCAAAGATTAAACATAAAGAGAGAAACTTGAAAGCGGCAAGAAAAAAGAAGCTAGTTACCTACAGGGGAGTTCCCATAAGACTGTCAGATGATTTCTCAAAAGAAACTTTGCAGGCTAGAAAGGATTGGCAAGAATACTCAAAGTAGGGACCTACAAACCAAGACTGCCCTAACCAGCAAAAATATCATTTAGAATCAAAGGGCAGATAAAGAGCTTCCCAGACAAGAAAAAACTAAGGGAGTTCATCATCACCAAATAATTATTATATGAAATGTTAAAGGGACTTATTTAAGAAAAAGATCAAAACTATGAATAATAGAATGGTAACAAACACATATCTAATCAGCAACTGAATCTAAAAAAACAAACTAAGCAAACAAGAATGGAGACAGAATCAAGGATACAGAGAACATTCTGATGGTTGCCAGAGGGAGGTGGGGGGGAATGGGTGAAGATGTGAGGGGATTAAGAAGTACAAACAGGTAGTTGCAGAATAGCCATGGCGATGTAAAGTACAGTATAGGAAACTGAGTAGCTAAAGAACTTATACACATGACCCATGGACATGAACAAAGGTGGAGGAACTGCCTGAGGGAGGGAGGTTGGTGCGGGGGGCAGAGGAGGAAACCTTATCAACTCTGAATGCATTCAAATTTGAGAAGTATTTCATGAAACTTTATTCTTAAAAATTTGGATACAGTTGTAAAATACAGCATTAATTTCATTTTTTATCATATTAAAAAAAATCCATAACTGTTTAAAAAGTCATATTCTAAGTGGTGAGGCTCTTTGGTCTTAGGAAATCCTGATACTTTACTTTCAACATTTAGTTGGTGGTACACTGAAGCATAAGCTTCTGCCTGTTTATATACTAAACACAACAATGAGATGCAATACTTAAAAAGAACATAGAAAAATGTCATCTCTTCATGTAGTTCAAAACATGTACTTTTTCTCTAATAAAAGATGCGGAAACATTCATGTAGCCATATATGACCTTATTAAAAATGGTTCACTAATATTTTTCAACACTGGAGTCATAAGGCAACACCCTTACAACTAAATGAAAAAACAGTATGTGAATTAGCATTCAGGCATAAGGTTTTTCAGTTAGTAATAACACCATTCGAGCCACACATATAGCTGGTACTCTGGAAATATTGAGACTACATTACTGCTCTCAAAATGATTATTAAAAAAAAAAAAACTTATTTTCCATTAGCATGGAATTACTATTTTTTACAAAATATAGTCAAGGACTTCTTTTTGTTTTTTTCTATAATTTTTATCTTTGTTTATTGTATTTTTTCCATTACCATTTAGTTCCCTTACACCCTCTTCCTTCTAGCAATCACCACTTTGTTGTCCATGTCCATGAGTCCTTTTTCCTTTTTGCTCAATCCCTCCACCCTCTAAATGCCACACCCACCTTAGCTACTATCCTGCTCTCTATCTCTGAGTTTGCCTCACTTTTTCTTGTTAGTTCAGTTTGTTCATTAGATTCCACATATGAGTGAAATCATATGATATTTGTCTTTCTCTGCTTGGTTTATTGCGCTTAATACAATGTTTTCCAGGTCCATCCATATTGTTGCAAAGGGGAAAATTTTCTTCTTTTTTACAGCCGAGAAGTATTCCACTGTGTAAATGTCCTATAGATGAGATAAGTAGATGAGCTGTTTTATCTATTAATCTACTGATGACACTGAGCTGCTTCCATGTCTTGGGGATTATAAGTAACGTTGCAATGAACATAGGGATGCTTATATTCTTTTGAATTAGTGTTTTGGGTTCCTTCAGATCTATCCCCAGTAGTGGGATCACTGGGTCAAAAGGCAGATCCATTTTTAATTTTTTGAGGTATCTCCATACTGTTTTCCACAGTGGCTGCACCAAACTGCATTCCCACAAATAGCGCAAAAGGGTTCCCCGTCCTCCACATCCTTGTCAGCACTTGTAGTTTGTTGATTTATTGATGATAACCATTCTGATAGGTGTGAGGTGATAGCTCATTGTGGTTTCAATTTGCATTTCGATGATGATTAGTGATGCTGAGCATCTTTTCATATGTCTATTGGCCATTTGTATGTCCTCTTTCGACAAGTATCTATTCAGATCCTTTGCCCATTTTTTACTTGGGTTGCCTGTTTCTCTGGTGTTGAGTTTTGCAAGTTCTTTATAACTTTTGGATATTAACCCCTTATCAGATGTATCAGCAAATATGTTCTCCCATTCTGTGGGCTGTCTCTTTATTTTGTTGATATTTTTCTTTGCTGTGCAAAAACTTTTTAGTTTGATATAGTCCCATTTGTTTATTTTTTCTTTTCTTCCCTTGCTTGAGGAGATATATCCAATAAAAAATTGCTATAAGCAATGTCTAAGATTTTGCTGCCAATGTTTTCTTTTAGGATTTTATAGTTTTGGGTCTAACATTTAAGTCTTTGATCCATTTTGAATTTATTCTTATGTATGGTGTAAGACAGTGGTCTGGTTTCATTTTTCTTCATGTATCTGTCCAATTTTCCCAGCACCATTTATTGAATGAACTATCTTTAGCCCACTGGATATGCTTGCTTCCTCTGTTGAATCAACTATAAAGGTATGGGTTTATT